TTTTGGTATATTTTTAACATTTCCATGACATTTGATTTTTGTCAAAATGTAAAATGATTCTATTTATACAGAAAAGATGCTACGTATTCAATCAAGATGCCAATATTACCTCTTCTTTTAATAGCAGACTATCCTACAAGTTATTTTTGAAAGAAAAAGTCATGTGAATCAATTTAATGTACACAGTCCGACCGAAAAAAAATTGCTCAGTTCCCAGAGTTCATGACTCATCAGCTGGGAAAGGGCGGCGTGAAAAAATAAATAGAAAAAAAAAAAAAAAAAATACACGAATGTTACACAGAGTAAAGTAGAAATAGAAATAGCCAGACAGAAAGAGTTGGGTGTTTAGTGAATTGGCAAAAATTGCTTGCCATGGTCTTGGCCAACAAGCAAACACACACACACACAGCGTACAGGCGTACAGATGGCCAAAGGCATAAAAAAAACAAAAAAAAAAAAAAAAAAAAAAAAAAAAAAAAAAAACAAACAACTGAAAAGCTAAATACATACATAAATTGATTTCATGACTCGATGCGGGCTGCTGTGGGTGGTATAGGGCTTTGAAGGTAAGACACCGTGTTGCATTGCGGCAGTCATCAAACTCGAGACTGAAAGGGGAAAAACGAAAACTAACGAAAATGGGTTTTTTCTTTTGTAGATCTAAAGTAGGAGGTCTCGAGATACCCTTTGAAAAGAATTTCGTATGAATTTTGCATACATATTATAAATGATATATATGTTTAAGAATGTCAGTGTTGTATAATGAAAATACCTTTAAATACTTTGATTGTTAAAAGTGTTCAACCCTAAACGATTCCCTATTTAGAATGACGAATCAAATAGCGAGAGCGTCAAAAAAAAAAACATATACAGCTGACATACACATACACACAATCAAGAGGCGAGATAAAGTACGGAACTGAGAAATAATCTTCAAAAAATGAAGAGCTTCACAGCTCAGTCACAGCAGCAAAAATTATAGAGGAAAGAAAGAGTAATAAATAAATTAAGCTTCATTATTTAAACCATTCATAAAACATTCACAGTCGAGCCGAATAGTTGAAAGTATAAAACAAAACATATACACATACTCTTTTGCTTCACAATCTAGCGAAAAAAATTCTTATCAGTCATATTTTGTGTTTTGCCTATCGCATGATTCACTCATTCATTTGGATGCTTATTTTATTTCAATTATAAGCTTTTATAACTTATAAACGGAGAGTGTAAATAGTTTTCTCTTTTACATTTATCGCTAGCTGTCTCCGTTTATGATGGGCAGCTCAAAGCGAGTGGATGACTCAACGATTCAATTTGAAGCACTCGTAAATGTGGGTGATGCATGTCTAAGTCACATTAGGGTCACTAACATTATTTAGGAACCGGAAGTCTGGTGTAAATGATGCATGTTGAGGAACGGACTATATAGATTAATGAAAATTAAACCCATATAAAAGAGTACGACGAACGAGTGAACTGAGAAAGACGTCGATGATGACTGTCGAAATGTTTTGCAAGATCTATAAATATGAAATGAGCATTCAATGAATGAGAATGATACTCGAAACTCTAAAGAGAAATATATGTATAAATGACTCGCTCATATGAGATCATCTCATCAAACAGATTTCAATAATATATATAAATGGATATAAAATGTGCTAACTTTCGAGAGCGTGGGTTGAAGTTCAACAAATGACAAATCGATTAAAATAACATTTTTTAGAATAAATATTCTTAAAGGTTTTTTTGTCTTCTATATTATCTAATCTTTACCTAAACTTTAATTTATATATAAATAATTAAATTCGTATTTCAAGTGCATCATTAATCTCGCGTTTCCTTTTGTAAAATAATTAATAAGTATTGCAACTTATTGACATTTATATTATATACCTTATGCACGCTCAGTAGACTCCACTATCTACCATTTTGAATGACTTGTAATTCTATAATTTTTAGAGCTTCCCATTATACACATAAAGTTTCTCCCAACTAAATTGGCCAATTGAATTTATTTACAATCTAATCATTGGCATATTAACTCTCACGAACCCAATTAATTTTGCGCTCCGTTCAATTGCGTTCAGAATATAATTGACACTCAATTTCAGACGTGTATATACTAATTGTATACCCTAAAACACATATTATAATGTGGAAATATAGTAGAACGAAAATGTTGCAAGTTCTTTTATATATTGGATATGATTATTCTTGAGCAGGATCAACAGCTGACTCAATTGAGTGGGTATTTAATAGAATGTATGTATTTATAAGAATTCAAGTTGAAGTATATCAAAAGTAGATTCACTTATACGATTAGAAGACCCAATAAATAATCAAATTTAATATCGAAAGGGCGTACCAGTTACTTATATTTATATCTTATGCCTCAGAAGATCTAGATTTAATAAAGATATATGATTTTGTAAACTTTTGCCAATGCCCGATCATATCGCATCACATTCTATATAATATACTTTACTCTAGGGTATCTTCTTGTCGCAGACTGTTGCTTGTTTATAGATAATTTGTAGCGCTGGAAGTGCGCATTAGACACAAAATAATCTAGGCGTTACAGATATTCCGATATTGCGAACACAATGTGCATGCATTCATATATAATGTATATATATATTGATATATGAATCTCATATTTATTCATAAATTGCGGGGGTGACGAGACTTTCAACTGGCAAAACATATATATAAAAAAAATGTATATATGTATATATAATTACTCACCTTGATTGGGGGAATGGCGAATTGCAGCTGCATATGGGGAGAGGCGTTGGAGACGTTGGCGCTAAGGCTGGGAATCCCGCGTGGCAAAACACTTGGCGTTTCTACGTACTTTTTTGAATTTTTGTTTTTCTTTTTTTTTAAACAATTTTCGATGTTTTAGGTTTTGTTTATTCGGTTTTGGTTTTCGTTTTTGTGGCGAGGCTGGACGGCGGAGTCGCGTTTAATGCATTTGATTTTTTTTTTTTTTTTAATTTTTTTTTAAACTTTTTTTTCATTTTGTTGATTTTAATTGGGCATGAGAAAACACATTGAATGCGGCTAAAGGCTGACGCAGCTTGATTGACTGCCATAATACGAAGTTATTGTTGTTGTTGTTGTTGGTTGTCGGTGGTTGCTGTTGTAGTTTTTGTTGTTGTTGGGTGACAGTTGTTGCAAATATACTCTCGCTTTAGGTGTTATCAAAGAAACGTGCAACGTGCTTGCAGTTGCATTCACAGTGGACTAGAAATTAAGTTATAACTCGGGTTCTGGATTTTTTTGCTTGTTTTGTTCTTTGTTTTTTGCTTGTTTGATTGGTTGTTTCCATGAAATAGAAGTGCTTTTTAGATGCATTTCGTACTTAGGCGTAAGCATTGCTCATTGTAAAACATTTGCAGTTATTGTTGTTTTTGTATTTTTTTTTTTTAGTAAAAACATAATTTGATAAGTTTTATGCATGCTACTTGCTTGCTTTGATGCTATGAGCACGAATGTAGTTTACAGCGCAAGAGTATAAATAAATAAATATATTTATAATCATAGAAAAGTAAGCAGATTTATTTTTAAACGATTTGGCATGCATTTGGGGTTGGGTTAAATAATACAATTTCCGATTGTTGTTTGGTTTTTGGTGGTCGTTGTTGTTAGTCATATGGTTTAAGTTGGGGAAAAAAAAATACAAAAAAAGAGGAAAGAAATAATCAAATAAATAAGTGGGTTAATATTGCAAGGTAAAATGTGTTAGGTGCGTGGGTGTTCATGAGTGGCTGTGTGAGTGTGTATGTGTGTTTGTATGTGCGTGTTCATGTGTGCTACTGCGAGTATGTGCGAGCTAAGTGAATTGCAGTGACTAAAGCAAATTTAAACACAAATTTTTATGATTTTTTTCTGCTTTTGCTTTAAGAAACGTATTGAGCTGACTTTTCTGTGATTTCTTGTTAGTTTTTTTTTTTTTTTATAGCTAGCAATTTGGTTTTGCAATACAGAGAAAAATGCTGTTAAACGGAAATGATTAAACACAAAAACTAACGAAAAGGGAAAAAAATAAACCCGTTTTGATTGAGATAAATGTTGAACATTTATTTGCGCAACAAACTAAAAAAAAAACATTAATGTTGACTTTACAGTTTGCCGATTTGTTTGTCTGTGGCATATATATATATGTAGCATGTATATACGAGTTGGCCGAATTTCTATCATTTTTTTTTTTTTTAATATAATTTATGTAATGTGCATTCAATACATATGAACACGATTGGGTAAATAGCATAAGTAAATAGTCACTATAGTTATTATACATACATATATATAGATATATATATGTGGAATATATAATACATATATTTATATATTTGTGTGTATATATATCATCAATAATTGTTTAATAAATATTATTCAAGAAGTTAACTAGAGTTTAATATACATAGCATTTGCATGAGATTTGTGTACTGAGAGATTTTTGAGTGAGTTTCATTGAATTTTCTTTGCTTTCCTTTTGCTTTCGTTATTATTATTATTATATATTTTTTTATTTAAAGAGAGAATCTACAAATAAGTGTATATAAGAACTTTTTTGGGGCAAATAAAAAATTAAATGCATATCCTATCAAACGGAAACGATAAATTGTACAAAAATTAACAACGAATTAACAAGATGCGTTTGTCTTAATTTTTTTTTTTTTTTTTAAATGTATGCAAAGCAAAAACTACTAAAAAAGTGTTATATATATTATTATAAATTTTTTCTTGCAATTTTGAGTTTGCTTCGCATTATAACAATAATC